TTTGTAGCAAAAGGAGGGGAGTGATTGACTTTGCAGTCTAGGAGCGGAGGTCCCTGGGACCATCAAGGGAGAAGAGCAGAGAGCAGGACCCTACCTGGAGAAGCAGTGACACCAGAGATGGAGGCAGAGATAATGACATGGAGAGATGGAGCAGCTGGGGGCTTTAGACCCAGAGAGGGAGAGGGGCTGTGGGCTGACGACCGGGAGGGGAGGAGGGTTGGTTGATGGTGCATGAAGGGAAGGGAATTGTAACCATGGCAATGAAACTATAGGATGAATATAAAGCTAATGTTTTCCCATTTAAACGATCACATAATTCACAATAAAACATTAAATAAATAAATAAATCTATTGCCTTAAGGTAATCTTTGAATCCTAACCTTGAGCAGAAACTGGTCTCCTGCAGGTCATTTCTAAATCAAACAAGAATTTAGCTTAATTAGTCAAGAACATTTGCCTTAGGCATTGTGTTCTTTTAAGGAACTATCCATGAGCGATTTTGACAGCAGTCATCCAAAAGTAGGAATAGAAGTTTTTTTTTTTTAAGGGCAATCAGTAATTATTTGATTTGTTCTTCGGGAAAATGCTGTATGAAATCCTGCACGTCCACAAGTTATTTGTAAACTATTCTGGCCCTGTTTCTTCATGTTTCCATGACAGTAAATCATTACTATTATAAACTGAAGTATGCAAACCTATAAAGCGTCTTCCCTCTCTGGAGCAGTTTTGACTCTCAATGGAAATGTTACCCTAATTTGCAAATTGATTAAATAAGCCTCAATCAATTTCTATTATTGGCTGTAAGTTATTTTTATTTTAACACTTGGATGATCTATCTTCAAGACTCCCTTCCTAGGAGGTGTGAAAATCAATAGTAACTAAGGAAGATAAACATTTTGCATATAAGACAACTGAAATTGTGCTGTTTGTTGTTTTTTTCATTATAAAATGCAGCAATCAAGAAGGATAAATATTTTATGTATGGAAATGTAGCTGTGGAGTAATTCTGTGCATTTTCATTCTGTATTTCATTTTCATTACGCAACTGACCCTGCCTGGTAATGGTTGAAAGCCCTCCTTGCTGGGAATTTACATTTAAGGCCTTTAGTGAAATATTATGGCAATCAGAAGGTTTGGGGGCAAAGTCTTTGGAAGCAGTGGCCTTCCAATTTTTTGCAAATCACATAATTTGATGAGGATGTGATATTACTCACACATCAACAGAGTTGCTGTTCATAAAATTAAGTGTTCATAAAGGCTAGTGTTTTTTTTTAACGTTTTTCATTGGACTTTAGAACTAATCATCTTTCCCAGTTCTCCTTTTTCCCATTATTCTTTAACTGGCATAGATAATAACTTCTGCTTCTCGTTTTCCATCTTGCCTTTAGAGAAGCCAGGCAATCAATCGTATTCTTTGGGTGGAGTCTTTGAAATGCAGAAGGTTTCAGAGATAGATATTTACTTCTACATGTAACCAGTACTAGAATGATTAGTAACTTGGAAGCTGTTCTTTCTCCAAAAGGATTCTCACCAATCAGGTTCTCTCTGCAGTTGCTGCTGTAGCTTGTGAAATGTGGCCTGGGGTCTTACATTTCCTTTGCTTTGCAGCTGGCACATGCTCAGGACTGACAGTAATGGTGCCCTCACACACCATCCATGGCATCAGGGGTCAGGCCCTCTATCTCCCTGTGAACTATGGCTTCCACACTCCGGCTTCAGACATCCAGATCATATGGCTGTTTGAGAGACCCCATACAATGCCCAAATACTTACTGGGCTCGGTGAATCAGTCTGTGGTTCCTGACCTCGAATACCAACACAAGTTCACCATGATGCCACCCAATGCATCTCTGCTCATCAACCCACTGCAGCTCACTGATGAAGGCAGCTACATCGTGAAGGTGAACATCCAGGGAAATGGAACCCTCTCAGCTAGTCAGAAGATACACGTCACTGTTGACGGTAAGTCCACTGTATATGTACGGCTGGGCAGCAGGATAGTATGAGGGTTAGCAAAGCCTCAGGCATCTAGATGACCAGTGTTTTCAAAGCTCTACAGCTTTGGCCAAATTCATTAACCCTCACAGTTTAGTGTCTTATGGTTTTAATAACTATCTACCTGAAGAGCCTTTCTGAGGATTAAATACGACAGTTGAATACAATGGTTCTGTACAATGATCAGCAAAAGGTAATGAAGCAATAAGATTAAGTTAGTATTTGTATTTGTTTACCTGGAAATTATCAATTATAAAGTTGCTGGAGTGGACCGACTCAACTGCACTTAACAACAACAGAGTAATGAAATAGATATCGTTATTGATATCCTCAGTTATCGTTACTAAGTGCAACGGACTTGGTTTCAACTCATAACAACCCTGTATAGAGTTTCCGAGGAGCGGCTGGTGGGTTTGAACTGCTGACCTTGTGGTTATCCTACAACACCGCAAAGAGGCCTATTTCAGTCATGTGAGGATTTTTATCTTGGTAAAGTGGGGAGGACCATGCTGAAGGAACGGTAGGAGTGCTGGAAAAGTTCTCTGAGGGGCGCTGGGGTTGACCAGCTTTCAGCATTTATGTTCCTTATTGAGCTATACAAGTGCAATGTCTTAAGTATATTACGTCCAATGCTCAGTTTTGCATTATTTCCTCTAAATCCGTAGTATTCCTATAATTTAGTAGATATTCACTCCAGTTAACTGATGGATCGGGCTAAAAGCCTCTGAGTCATGACCGACCCTCTCTATCTCTTACATCCCACATCCAGTTCACAAGGAAACCTTGCCACTTCACTTTCAAAATATAGACAAAGTCCAACCCCTTCTCACTAGCCCCACTACTGCCCTGCTCAACTCACTGTTAGCTTTCCCATAGATTATGCCATTCACCATCCAGCCAGTCTCCCTGCTTCAGTTCCTGTCCTCTGCAGTTTAAAATACCCCGCAATGTTCTTTTCCAATAGAATAAAAGTCAGCGTACGAACAAAGGCATAAATACAAAACATAATCTCCCCCACATACCCAACATCTTTATGACTTCTCTTCCTACCTCTCTTTCTGCACCCATCTTATTCTTCCTAAAAGAGGATAAACACACACTTCAGGATCTTTGTATTTGCTGTTCAATATACCTCTATTGCTTTTATCCTAGATACTAATTAGCATACTTCCTTCCATTGTTTCTTTTAGATCTCAGTGCAAATATGATTTTATCCGTGAAATCTTTCCTGACCATCCTATCTATATAATATATAACCTCACTTTCCCTAATCCACATACAAGCATGGCCTCTTGAATTCTGTATTGAAATGGACATATATATTTTCATTTACTCCTTGTTTCTCTTCTCCTTGAGGGTCTTCCGCTTTTTTGCTGACCCTCTACTTTACCAAGTATGATGTTCTTTCAGGGACTGGTCCCACCTGATAACATGGCCAAAGTCCATGAGATGAAGTCTTGTCCTCCTCGCTTCTGAGGAGGCTGTACTTCTTCCAAAAAAGATGCGTTTATTCTTCTGACAGTGCAGGATACTTTCAATATTCTTGGCCAACATTATAGTTTAAATACATCAATGTCTTCTCTGATCTTCCTTATTCATTGTCCAGCTTCCACGTGCACATGGAATCAATTCCTACTTATAGCAACCCTGTGCACAAAAGAAGGAAACTGCTCAGTCCTGCGCTATCCTGGCAACTGTTACATTTGAGCCCACTGCTGCTGCCACTAAGTTAGTCCATCTTGTTTGGGGGTCGTCCTCCACTTCAAGAGCATGGTGTCCCTCTTCAGAGACTGGTCACCTGCTGATAACTTGTCCAAAGTATGAGAAGTCATCCTGGCTTCTTAAAAGCATTTTGGCTGCACTTCTTCCAAGACAGATTTGTTTGTTTTTCTGGCAGTCCACAGTACTTTTAATGTTCTTTTTCAAGGCCATATTCAAATGCACACACTCTTCTTCAATCTTCCTTATTTATTGCCCAGCTTTTCACATGCGTACGAGGCTACTGAAAATACCATGGCTTGGGTCAGGTACACCTTAGTTCTCAAACTGATAATCTTTGCTCTTGAGCACATTAAAGAGATCTTCTGCTGCAGATTTGATTTCTTGATGGCTGCTTCTAATAGTGTTGATTGTGGACCTGGGCAAATTGAAGTCTTAGACAATTTTAATCTTGTCTCCATTTATCATGATGTTATTTATTGGTCCAGTTGTGAGAATTTTTGTTTTCTTTACATTGAGATGCAATCCAAAATGAAGGCTGGAGTCTTTGATCTTCATCAGTAAGTATTTTAAGTTCTCTTCACTTTCAGCAAACAAGATTGTGCCATCTACATATCACAGGTTGTTAATGAATCTTCCAGAATCCTGATGCCACATTCTTCTTCATATAATCCCGCTTCTCAAATTATTTTCTCAGCATACAGATTGAACAAATATGGTGAAAAGATACAACCCTGGAGTATACCTTTCCTGATTTTAAATCATTCAGTGTCCTCTTGTTCTATTTGTATGTGTTTTTTGCTTTGTTTTGTTTTTTCCCCTTGTTCTATTTGGATGACTGTCTGTTAGTCAGTGTACAAGTTCCTCATGAGTACAATTAAGTGTTCTGGAATACCCATTCTTCACAATGTTATCCAGTTTGTCACGATCCACAGTGACAAAAGCTTTTGCATAGTCAATTAAGCAGAGGTAAACATCTTTCTGATATTCTCTGTTTTCAGCATGATATTCACATGTCAGCAATGATATGCCTTGTTCTGTGTCCTGTTTTGAATCCTTATCAATGTACTGTTACAACCATTTTTTAATTATTTTTAAAAAATTTTACTTGCATGCTATATTAATGATATTATTTTATGATTTCCACATTCTTTTGGGCTGCCTCTCTGGAATGGGCACAAATATGGGTCTTTCCGATCAGTTGGCCAGGTAGCTGTCTTCAAAATTTCTTGTCATAGATGTGTGAGCACCTCTAGTGCTGCATCAGTCTGTTGAAAGATTTCAATTTGTATTCCACCCCTTCCTGAAAACTTGGTTTTCACTAATGCCTTCAGTGCAGTTTGGACTTCTTCCTTTAGTGCCATTGGTTCTTGATCATATGCTACCTCTTTAAGAAAGCAAAAGCTCATTAAAAAGTCAAGAAAGAAAGAAAAGAAATGACTAAACATTAACCATTTCTTTTTAGTATAATGACTGTGTCTTCCTTCCATCTTCTTGTGATGCTTTTTGCATCATTCAATATTTTGCCCATGTTTTTGTTAAGTGCCATCAAGTCAGTTATAACTCATAGCAACCCTGTGTAGGATTTCCAAGGAGCAGCCTGGTGGGTTTGAACCACCAATCCTGTGGTTAGCAGTCCAGTGCTTATCCTATAGCACTACACTTAGACTCCATTTTACCCATAGACTCCTTCAATGTTGCAGGTCAAGCTTAAATTATTTCTTCATTTCTTTCAACTTGATAATTGCTGAGTGTGTTTTTCCCATTTGGTTTTCTTACTCCAGGTGTTTGCACAGTTCATTATAATATTTTTGTTCATCTTCTTGAGCTGCCCTTTAAATTTTTCTGTTTAACTCTTTTACTTCTTCATTTCTTCCATTTGCTTTAGCTTTTCTATATTCAAGAGCAAGTTTCAGAGTCTCTTCTGACATCCATTTTAATCTTTTCTCCTTGGGGGTCACTGACACTCTACTTTTCTTTCAGGGACTTGTCCCTCTTGAACTATGGCCACAGTCCATGAGACAAAATCTTGTCATCCTCACTTCTGAGAAGGCTGTACTCCTTCCAAGAAAAATGTGTTCTTCTGTCAGTACAGGGTACTTGCAATATTCTCTTCTTTTCTTTTTTTCCTGTTTTTTTTTTTTTTTTTTT